CTCCAAGTGCTATGGCTACACAACCTTGCCATATATGCAAATGGAAACGAATGCAACCATTTAAAGAAGAAAAGCTTAGAACATTTGGTTCTTTAGAGGAACAGTACACAAAATTTTCTCAATCAGGTGCAATAAAACAAAATGCTAAAGAATTTTGCAACGTTATTAATCCTCCATTGATACACGCAGAAACCAGTGACTCTTTAGTGGCAGATTATATTTTCCCGCCAGAGTTACACTTAATGGAGGGAGCTGTTAATCATATTTAAAATCATATAGAGAAATGTGGTGGTGAAAACGAAGTGGCTAAAGTTTCAATGGTTTTAAACATTTCAAAAGAGGTCCAGAATAATGCCTTTAATGGCAACGCCTCTCGTAAAATCCTTAAAAATTATGATAAGTGCATGCGTGCAGTGCCAGTTAATTTAAAGCCATTGGCAGAGGGGCTTAGAATTTTAAACAATTTGGTTGAGTCTTGTTTTGGACAAAAACTTAATAATGATTTTCAAACACATATTAAAAACTTTGAAGATCACTGCAGAACACTTGTTGAAGACTATGGAATAACTGTTTCATTGAAAATTCATTTTATTATAAAACATATAGGTGCTTTTTGTGCAGTAAGAGGGCGTGGATTAGGCTGCTACTCTGAACAAGCTGTTGAAGCAATTCATTACAGCTTTGTTAATGAATCTTGGAATAGACTAAAAGTTTCCAAAAGTAACAGCTCCTTTTCTGAACATTTGAAAAAAGCTGTTATCAGTTTTAACGGAAAAAACCTTGTAAATATTGCAAATGCTCCTGAAAATATATTTATGTTTTAACTTTACTTAAATATAACATTTTTATGATAATATGTTACACAAAAATATGTTAAGTTTATTAATAAACAAAATCTTAATAATATAAAACATTAGTTATTGTCCATGGTTTGTATATATATGTAATATATTTGTATTTTACAAATGACATATTTATGACAGTCATATCCAAACGATATATTCTATTTATGACTCATTTTTACACCTTAAATTGCTATATCTTTTAAAAAATTGATAAATTTGTTATATAAATTTATTTAAATAATAATAATTTAAAAATCCACAAATTTGGGAAAGTTTTTCTAAATTGGGCCCTTTTGGCCCCTAAAACGTAAATATTTTGCTAAAAGGAATTTTATGATTTTGGTGACCTATCAAACCTAAATCTACTCATTGTAACGAATCCAACGATATATGACAATGGCTGGGGTCAAACCGCAAAACTAAAAAGTGGTTGCAGGCAGGTGTGTATTTAATTTAAAAATTCCACGCACTGCATGTCATTAAAATTCGATCAATTCAACGAAGAAAATTTTATGAGTTCTACAGTTTATTATTTATCTACTTTTCAAAAAGGCACTCCTTCTTTGGCAGACAAGTTTTATAAAGCTTGAGCTTTTTCATCATATATATATATATATATATATATATATATATATATATATATATATATATATATATATATATATATATATAATATATATATATATATATAAAATAAATAATAAGAAAAAAAATACAAATAAAGATATAGTTTAAAAAACGAATAATAAATAAAGAATCCGAATACTCAAGTAGGACCAGGATGCCATCGAGAAACCGCTCAAGCTAAAATAGAATGATTTGGATGATTATAACGTTAATATTTAAATGTATATTTTCTCAATGTTTTTTTTTAAATACTCCATCGATGAGATCTTAGCCTCTAAAAAAACACATTTGTAAAATCTTTTATTATCAAATTTTTCAAACTGCTAGCTTTTCTTTGCTTTTTGGTGTCCACAGCGTTTGCAGTAATCAATCGAACATACTTTGACTTTTGCAATCGTTTTAAATAAGCAATAATTTTAAATTTAATAATATAACAATAAAACTGTTAAAGAACAGTCATTAAAGCTACAATTAATAACAGCGCTTTTTTTGGGAATGAATGCCTCCATTATCAACATATTTTATAAGTTTGTCTAATAGTTTACAATAAGTTTAAATTTGTCAATTTCAAATCAACCAATAAAATTTTATTTTAAAGAATTAAAAATCTTGTCAGACAAAATGTCCGATGATTTTGTAAATTGATCGGACAATCTGAGGTTTTAGCCAGACAATGTCCGATGTCCGACTGTTAAATTAAGCCCTGTATATATATATATATATATATATATATATATATATATATATATATATATATATATATATATATATATATATATATATATATATATATATATATATACATATATATATATATATATATATATATATATATATATATATATATATATATATATATATATATATATATATATATATATATATACATATATATATATATATACATATATATATATATATATATATATATATATACATATATATATATATATATATATATACATATATATATATATATATATATATATATATATATACATATATATATATATATATATATATATATATACATATATATATATATATATATATATATATATATATATATATATATATATATATATATATATATATATATATATATATATATATATATATATATATATGAATCCTAAAATGAAAAACTCAACCATACATGATAACCGCATATGCATAACATTCAAATCTATATCTACATTTCAATCACATACTTTCTATTAAAAAAATTATTAATTATTCTGAGTCTGTGAGTTTGATTTATTTGAATTAGTAGATGTTAATAAATGAAGTTTCATACTTGAATCCAAAAGTTTATATTGTGATTATCAAAATCCATACCACCCCATAAACTTCTCAATTCTGTGAGCATTAGAGCTCACAATTGTAAGAAAAATTCAGCAAATAATTATTGATATTGATTTTTCATACCAAATTGATATGCTTGAAAAATAAATTGTTGGAAAATCTTTTACTAGTTGAAATTTATTCTTGGCTAAAATAACAAAATACATGTCATATAAATATACTTAATTTGCATTTAGTTAATATGCTGTTATAAAGTTTCACTTTTACAAGTTTAATATATTATGTTATATAGTCAAACTTACATACTTGATCTTATTTTCTCTCTCGTGGATCCTACCACCCCTGGTTTTATTACCTTTCCCAAGACCAAACTGTTTTCAAAGAATCTTTTTTTTAATTTATCTCTTGAGTATAATGACGACACTCGTCCTCTCAAATTTCAAAAAATTGGTTAATCAATTGTTAGACATCTAAATCACCCCTACTTCCGTTGATTAAGTCATTTTTTTACTTAAGTACTTTGACAGCTTGTGGTCTTTGACAGCAATTCTGTCAGAGTCTTACAAAATCTTTTTCTAGAACTCTTTTTTTAATATTCTTTAAGCTATTTAACAAGATATTGCATAACTGAATCTTTTTTTTCCGTGTCTGCTGAAAAATGTTAACTTTGATTTTAATTTTAAAACTCTGGGGATCACTTTGACTCTTCAAACTATTGCTTAATCAGTCTTCTTACTTTTATTTGCATATATGGAAGCAGTGGGACATGAGCTATTGATTTTATCATAACAAAGGCTTTTGATAAATTCAAGCTGAACTTTTACATAAATTCTTTTTATATGATGTATTTAAGAAAGTTTTAAAAATTAAGAAATCATTTCTTTCTAACTTTAATAGTAAAGTTTTCCTTGATAGACAACACACTCCTTCATTTTCAGTAACTTCTTTGGCATCAATTTGGCTTCATATTTGGCCCTATGTTGTTTCTCATCTATATTAATAACCTACCTAATAATCTTACCTGTTAAGTACCTTAAAGTACCTGATAATAACCTTAAAGGTAAATTGTTTTGCTAATGACTTGACTTTTTACTCCAGTCTTGACCAATAAAAAATGTGATAAAGCTATAACGTTTTAGTTATCACTTATTGATCCTTGGCTTTTGGTTTTTCTTTGCCTTTTATACTGTGCTTGCCATTTCTTTGCTCTTGATATCATTCTTTACCTTTATATGTTTATTAGGCATTCTTGTTTTGAATACAGAATACATCTAGTCATTCCTCATACACCCTTATACATTTTTTCCTATTATTATATTTTCCTGATGCAGTTTATAGTTTTATTTTAAGTCTTCTGTCAACCATTATTAAAGAAAAATTTTTACTACTTTTTTTAAAAAGTTTATTGATTTTTAACAAACAGAAAATACTTTTTTATGTGTCTAATTAACACACTTACAAAAATACTTTTTGAGAATAAATGGAAAAAAGAAATATTTCTAAATCAAAGAAATTTATTTTTAAATTCAATATATGAAGTTAATTTTGCAGAAAAAAGACTTCAAATGCATTATTTCTGCTAATTTTGTTTACTAATTTTGTTGCTAATGAGGCATGTATTTATTTAGGTTCTTATGCTTGTAAAATGTAGTCCTATACTTTTTTTTTAGAGAGAGACTTCAAAATAAACCTCAGTAAGCCTTGCTTTTGAAACATTTGCTGGGTTGTTTTATTTTTAAAACAAATGCATCGTTTTTATCACTAAGGAAATGAATTACAAAACAGATATAAATGTTAACTAGGTGTGAATGCTATATGATCATTGATCCTTGTGATTATTATAGCAAAATCAATCAAGAAAAATTACAAAATAAAACAAATCACACTTTAATACATAATGTTACCTTGTGTCATTTGAGTAAAATTTATATGAAATTAAGAATCCATTAAGTAAAATCTATCTTTGCTTTTGATTTATATATATTTTGTCCTATTTTATATGTAAATAATTAATAAGTTGTTTGAAATTATGTTTGCAACCTAGGTGTTTAATAAAAATATTTGGGTTTAGTAATTTGATCCCTTAGCACATCAATTTAACACATTAATTTTACACAGTCGTTTACCATTTATAGATCCATAATGCATAGTCATATAAAGTTTAATATAATTATGGAAGAACTTAAGTTTTACTTCATGTGTATAAAATGCTTTTAATTTTAGGAATCAGTACTTAGTTTGATAAAAGAATTGCCGCTAATATTAGAACTCCAAAAAATTTTGCAACATGAATTTAACTATAAACTTGACAAAAAAACTGCTGTCGATAAAACTGTTGTTGAGTTTTTATCAGATATTAATGCAAGTAAACCAGGTAACATTAACTTTTAGTACTAGTAATTGAAAAATTAAATGATTTTAACTTTATATCACACTGTGTATGGTGAATCACTTTATACAAGCTAGGTACTAGTGCATGTAAGTAGTAATACGTAACATGTACTAAGTACTATACTAATTCAATGAGTACTAGGCACTAAATACTAGGTACTAAATACTAGGTACTAAATACTAGGTACTGAGTACTAGTACTAAGTAAATACAAAATAAACTAACTAAATGGAAGTTTAAATTTGAATTATATATTATTAGTTGTTACTTTTCGCTTTTGGTTTTCATAAAATCTAATATTAAATAATTGGTATTATTTTTTTCAAATAATAGTATTAGTGCACATGAATTATGCTACTAAAACAGTACTAGGTACTAAGTTCAAGTAAGTGAAGACAAAATAAATTACCAATTAACTGCTAATACTATCATTAAATTTTAGTTGTTCTTTTTTTCTTTAAATTTTGTTGTAATTTTTTAATTTAGAATTGAAAAAAAAAGTAGAAAAACTTATTAAATGCTTCATTAAAACATGGAATCAGGCTCGTGGCCTTTTTACAGGTTAGTTCAACTTAATATGCATTTTCATTGAATGATAATTAACTATGTGGATAATGAAATTTACTTTTAATGTAGAAGTTGAATTTTTATTTTTAAGTGGAAGATGAATTTTGCTAAAAAAACATATATATCAAGGACATTAAAAGTATGAAAAAGTTTTACATACTGTCTATATCTAAAATCAAAATTGAACAAAACTTTCCTAAAACTATTTAAAATTTTGTATAGATTTCTATGCAAAATTTCTATAACTTTCCTAAAACTTTTGCTTTTGCTTTTTGTGTAGATTTTTTTATATTTAAGTCAATAAATTTAAAATTTTACTTTTTTTATAATTTTAAATTACTCCCTCCATCACATTTCAAATTATTATATTGGCATTTGATATCAAAATAGTTTGTTATTTAATAAATACATTGTTTGGTAAAATTGCCATTTTAATGTTTTTGTCTTTATTCTGTACAAACAGATTTTTTATTTTTTATTGTTATATATTTAATAATAGATCTTTAATTTTACTAGTTTTAGTTTCAAGTCTGTAATTAAAAGTCAAAGCTGCAGACCATAGGATTAGGCACATTATTAGACTTTTTTTTGGCACTGTGGTAGCATAAAGTTTCTTTTAATTGTTGTATATAAAAGTCAAGTTCAGTGGGGTAAACTCCCTATTTTTTTGATGTGATAGTGGTAGCGCTCTTTTCTCAAGCAAGAAGTTCAGAGTTTGATCCCCCCCACCACATCCCTGGAAGTAATGCATTGAACTTGTTTCTCTGTGCAGCTTCTGTCTGTTAAGGTTCATGTTTTGGAGTAGCCTCCTCAACTGTATTACCCTTCTTGGCCTTGTTGAGACATATGACATTATAAAAAAGGGGTGGCAACACTAATCTACTCATAGGTGCTTAATACACTGGATGTTTATTAATACTCGGAAATTTTAAAAATTAAAAATTGCTTTTCAATTATTTAAATGTTTTTTTATCTTTAAAGCTACAAGCATTTGTACATAAACAGCCCTTTTCAATGAGCTTTAATCTTCTTCTTTTTTGTCCAAAAAACATATCCATAATCTATAAAGAAAACATTTACTATACTATTTGTAAAATCAAGCAACTTTGTTCAATAATTCAACTTTGTTCAATAATGTCTCACCTTATTTAGAGGGTTACAATTTTTTTTTAATAATACTGATTCTATCTACATAAATAACCCATCCATGTTCTTTTGAAGATGAAGTTGCAGGTTAGTTTGTTAGAGTTAATCTTTATACTTTATATTGATAAATTGGTTCTTAAAATGAGCTTGCTTTACAAGTTGGAAACTTTTCACAATCAGTCTTTCCTTTTTTTGAGCAGCACATTTTGTATCAAAGATGAATAATGCCTTCATATTTTGTACTATACAAGTGAATACTTGCAACTCATAAACTTAATAAACAAAACTCAAATAATGTTTAATGGCAATTAATTATTTGATAATGTTTCAAGTCTATCATTTTCAATATTACTATGCACAGCAATAGTTCTTTTTATCAATCCATTTGGTACAAAGACATCCTAAATTTGTTTCTGGATAAATTAGATTCAAAGCAATCATAGATTATTTTAAGGTAATTTGATAGTAGGGGGCATTATGCTTTTTGAAGCTTTGATTTTCCCTTCAAAAAATACATTTGCTATGTATTTTCTAATAGGAAAATACATACACGTATTTTCTAAAGGTATCTTCAATAGTATTGCTTTGATACTAAATAATTCTCTTAGGCAAAAAGACATTCAGGAAAAATGATAAGTATATTTTAAAATTCATAGTATTCGTATCTAGACAAGGCAGCCATGACATAATATGGCAAGTGAATGCTTACAACTCAGTAACATAACAATGAAACTTAATAAACAAAACTCATATAATATTTAATGGAAATTGATTAATTGATAGTGTTTTAAATCTATCATTGTCAATATTATCATGTGCAGCAATAGTTCTTTTTATCAATCCATTTCGTACAAAGACATCCTAAATTTGTTTCTGGGTAATTTAAATTTAAAGCAATCTGAGATTACTTCTAAGTAATTTAATAGTAGGGTGCATTATGCTTTTTGAAGTTTTCATTTTCCTTTTAGAAACTGTATACACTATGTTTTTTCTAATAAGTATCTTCAATAGTATTGCTTAGAAATTAAATTCTTTAATACAGGCAACAAGACATTCAGGAGAAGTGAGAACTTTATTTTAAAATTAATAGTGTTCATATCTAAATCTTTTAGATAGCGTAATATTTTTTGATATTATTATAATTTTATGTATTTTATTTAAGTTCACAGACTTGTTGACGTTTGTAGATTTTATTTCTGTTTAACTTTGTTAATTCAACTTTGGCACATATATATATATATATATATATATATATATATATATATATATATATATATATATATATATATATATTATATATATATATATATTTATATATATCTTTCTTTCAATCTAAATTAATTTATTTTGTGTGAGGTGCGGTAGTGGTGTAGTGGTAAAACACTCGCTTCATAAGTGAGAGGTTCCGAGTTCGATCCCCACCACGTCCCTGGTAGTACCGAGCTTAACTTGTTTCTCCGTGCAGTGGCCTTGTTCATCAAGGTTTGTGTTATAGAGTTGAGAGAAGGTTATAACCACTATTAAGTAGCCTCCTCGTCTGTAGTGGCCCTCTCTGCCTTGAGGAGGTGAATAACAAAAAAACAAAAAAAAAATGTGCATCTTTATCTGACAACATAAGTTCTTTTTTATCTTTAATATAAACTTTTGAGTTATATTGCTAAAACTATTCCCCAATTCAACAGTGTCGAAAAGTGTCTTGTATGCAATTATTTTCTGTTGATTATTCTTATTGGAAAGATCTTTTTTACAAGTGAAATAATTTCTTCACATTTTCTTCTATAGTCATTATTAACAAGTGTAGTTATGATAACATAACTTATGATACTTAACTTTTTTGGAAATAAATGAATCGTTTCATATGTTTTAATTTTTTAATTATTTCTATGCTACACTTTCTAATTAATTCCCAGCTCTTAATTGCGCACAAAGTTAAAATTGTTCATGCTTGATATTCTAATATGAAAATTATATTTTTTAATAATGGATCACTTTCCATATTGTTAACATGGAGGTCAAAGTATTTTTTCATCTTTAGGGGTTTAACTTATTTTAGAATTTTTCCCTAAAACATACAAGATAAAACAACAAGCTTTTAAAAGTAATGTTTTAAGCTATAAAAATCTTTTAACACAGTACAATAAGTTTATAAAATAAAATTTTTTAAATCTTAATTTCAATCGTTGTTGTCTTTGTTTTATTAGCAAAAAACATTGGACATGTAATGCTGTTTATTTGACATTTTGTTGTCTGACCAACAAGTCAGAATTGCTTTTTATATCATATTTTATTTAAGATTTATAATTGATTTTATTTTTATTAATAACTTTTTACTCACTGTTCTACTCTATCTTTTTTTTTTTTAATTAGAGAGAGAGAAAAGATTGGAGCCAAATTTACCTTCAATTAAGCTTGACAACAAGTGTAGTTTAGCATTCTTCATTGCTGCGCCTTCTGATCACGGGTTGTGTGCTTCAATGCTGATTGATTTTCTTGCTTTCCAGCAAAATGATTTTTTGGAAGAATGTCGTTTGATTAATCACACATATGTTTTTCAGCATGTTCCTATATTACAGTTAAAAGAAACAGACATAATAAGTTATGAACAAAATTGTGACCTCCTTCCATTAGTGCTTTTAAATTGTGATTATTCTCTTGGTATTGGAAAAGCTCTAAAAATTGAACATAACTTAGAATTAATTCAAAGACGTCTTTATGAAAATGTTATTTTTGGTAAAGCATTGATTGACAGAGAGATAATACCATTCTTTTACAGAGGAGATATCAAAAGTTTAAACTTTCCTTTATTAAGGAGTTCTATTCAACAGGTATGCAATTTTAAATAAATAATATTAGCAATCAATTTTTTTTAATACAATAAACGTTTAGATAATAAATAAAACTAGGAACAAGTCAAACTTTGACTTTTATTTTGGTTATTTTGGACTTTTTTTGTGTTCAGGGACTTTTTTTGGGTTTTAAAATTAAGTTATTATTGAGTTAAATTATATTTTCAAATTTATCAGTAAACTATGTAAATACAGTTTTTAAATTTAAATAAATGAAAAAATAGTTAAAACAAAAAAAAATTAAAAGAAGTATAACGGCTGAAGTTTATTTTAGAAATAAAAAAGCAGTAAGTAAACATGTATCAATTAATTAACTGCTCCTTCTGCTTTGAATTTTAATTGCAAAAAATCCAATAGCTGAATAGATTTTCTTCATCTCAATACTTGTTGGAAAGACAAGGTTTTATAATCAGACCACACAGTTTTTAAAAAAAACCTGTCTACATTGGAAAAAAAAATCAATTGTCATCTTTCTTTAATTTGCAACAATGAAGTTTTAGCAACAATGTGCTATGCAAGGTTTATTCATTATCACAGAAAGTCAAATGTGAAGAATTTTATATTTATCTAATTAAAACTTTTTTTGCTTTTTCTTAATTTATTCTTGAATTGAAACATTTGACAAATGTGGATAATTTTTTGGCATTAAAATCTTGCATCCATTTCAGCACAAAGAAAATGAATTTAGGACCATGTTCAGATTTGTTGTTGCAAATAAAGAAAATTTTAAAAAATCTATCTTTACTGAAATATATTAAGTTATTTTACAGGTAATATTGATAAATTATTTTTATCAGTTTGCTAGTATTAGAAGAAAAAAGAAAAAAAAATTAACTTTCTAGTCAATTTTTCTAAAGTAATATTTAATATAACATTTTTCAGGCTGCAATAAACTACAACTGTTTTCTGTTAACTCTTATGATTTTATTTGCTTCTTTTTTTCTATTATTGAAATTAAATTTTTCTAGACTGATATTCCTTATTCGGAACAAAAAAGAATGTTAGATGAAATGATTGATATAGCAGATGTATCTATTGCTTTACGAGCTGTTGAAACAGTTATTGGTATAATAACATCTACAGGTGGTGATTGTAACATGTACTTAAGAGATTATCTAACCAATGTTCTTCGCATGAATGAACAGGATTACATAGTTAGCAGAAAAGTTCGTGTTTTATTTATATTTTTAATTAGGTGTATTTTTTTTAAGATATATTTTTCAGTTAGTTTTAAAGTTATCATTTGCAATTTTATATATATATATATATATATATATATATATATATATATATATATATATATATATATATATATATATATATATATATATATATATATATATATATATATATATATATATATATATGTATATATATATATATATATATGTATATATATATATATATATATATATATGTATGTATATATATATATATATATATATATATATATATATATATATATATATATATATATATATATATATATATATATATATGTATATACAGTGGGCAAAATAATTGTCCTTACATTAATGAAAAATAAGGTTTTTTGAAAAAACGTCTAAAACTTTATATGATAAAAAAAAATAAATTAAACCAATAGATAGCGCACAAGAAAACAAATAAAAACGATACACCATCTGTAATTTTCTCCCGACAACTTATATTATAATTAACTTATTTAAAAGTTTTAAAAATTTTAAAACCAAAAAATTGTCCGTACATTTGATTTAAAAGGTAAAATTTTGTTTATAAATGATTTTTATATTAATATCTTGTACTTTTAGGTTAAATAATACTATAATAAATAAAAATAAACCTTTTCATAACTACGTGGCTATGATGGAAGGAAAAAGAAAAGAATATAGTATTGACCTACGTAAATGAGTAATTTTTAATAGGGAAAATGGATTATCAATTAGAAAAGTTGCAAAAATGTTGAAAATACCACCAAGCTCTGTTCAATATATATGGGAAAAGTATGTAAAAACAAAATCAGTCGCAAATAATGGTGTACGAGGCAGAAAAAGATCAACAACGCCAAGAGTTAACAGGTGCATAGTTAGGAAAATCGAGCAGAATAGAAGAAAAAATGCCGTAGAAGTATCAAAAGAGCTGGAAAATGAATTAAATATTAAATTATCGCCACAAACAATTAGGAACAGACTGCATGAAGCCAATATTTTTGCACGGGCGCCTCGGAGAAAACCATTCATCGGCAAACATTCATTAGTGAACTAGAGAAAACGGTTGCAGTGGGCAAAGGAACATGTTCTGAAGAATGATACATTCTGGAAAATGATTATTTGGTCAGACGAGAGTAAATTTAATTTATATGGAGCTGATGGTGGTGCAAAAGTTTATAGAAGAGTCGGAGAAGAATATAATGTGAAGTGTTTGAAGGCAACATTTAAATTTGGTGGTGGAAATGTTATGGTTTGGGGCTGCATGAGTGCGTCCAGTGTTAGCAAAATTGAATTTATTGATGAGAAAATGGATCAACACCTATTTAGATCCATATTAGAACGGAATTTGGTGGCTTCGGCAAGAAAATTAGGACTTGAAACGGAATTTATATTCCAACATGACAACGATCCAAAGCACAAAGCTGGATTTGTAACCAGATATCTTGCTGCAAATGGCATTAGCGTGATGTATTGGGTTGCACAATCGCTCGATTTGAACCCTATAGAACATTTATGGTCAGTGGTGGAAAAAAAAATTAAAGATCAAGCTCCAAAGAATCGGTTTTAGATGTTTGGTCATCAATTAATCAAGAAATTACGTCTAAACTCGTCTCATCATTGAAAAATCGTTGTAGAGCAGTTATTGAAGCTGATGGTGGTCCAACAAGATATTAATTTAATTTTAACTAATTTTAATTAAAAAATTAACATAGTGTATGGACAATTTTTTTGTTTAAACTTTTAACTCTTTTCAAATAAACTTATATAACTTTTCATATATTAATATATTTTTAACTAATACACTTAAAATTACTTTAATATTATAGTATTTTTTTAAAAACTCTTAATTACAACTATCTAAATACTTTTAAATGTTATTTTGATCAAATATAAATACTTTTCATTAATGTACGGACAATTATTTTGCCCACTGTATATATATATATATATATATATATATATATATATATATATATATATACAGATATATATGGTAGTAGTATGAAAAAATGCAGCACATTTAAATAAGGGTTAAGTAGTGCTGAGCACGTCAACAGTAGATGACTCACTGCAGCAGTCCTGCTGATTAACTGTCCAAATTGTCAAGCACTATCTTGACCAATTTTACATTTTTGGCATTCGTTATCTGCTAGGGAAGGTCATTCAATATAGAGACAATACAATTAGTAAAAAAGCAATGTCTAGGCTGATCATTTCCTATTACTTCCTGTCTTAGTTGTGATCGAGTTTGTTTAGCACAAGCTGGAATAATTATTTGTGGTTTAATCCATTATATTATCAATGTTTTGCAATATGACCTCATATTGTAATATGACTTCATATTGCTGAATCATATCACCAGGCTTACATCTACGATCTAATGGAGTGATAATTTTTTTGTATCTTAGTTCATAATTTAAGTCTTTTATTGCATGCGGTTTCTGTGTTACCCTATGTTGAATTGATTCATGAAGATTTTTATCTTTTTGTAAGTGAGGATTCCTTGTTTGCCCTGCAAATTCAAGGTGTGGATGTACATAGCAATTATATAATTTCTTCCAGAAATTAACATCATGAATGACAAAGCACATTTCAGTTGATTAATTATTTTACAAGCTGATGAGGCAGCTTTACATACTTTTGCTGAAGATGTATGATGGTATGATATTAAAACACAAAGATCTTGTTCGCAGGTAGTTTTTGCAAGGTTAAATTTCATATTAGTATTGTAATCAGTGAGAGTGTAGTTTGACAGTGTAGATTGTTTTTACTTACATGTATAACTTTACATTTATCTATATAAAGGTGCATTAGCCATGTATTAGTCTAGTTAATAACATTCTCTAGATCAGTTTGGAGTATACTTATACTGTTCTTGATATCTTTTAAATTTATTTTTGCAAGTAATTTAGTGTCATCAGCATGCATTTTAGGTAGAACAGGGAGATTGTCAATAAGGTTATTGATATACCAGAATCAAGTGATAGTTGAAACAAAAGTGTAAATGGTAAGGACCAAACTGAATCACACTCTTTAAAAATCTATTTACTCTGATAAATTAGGTAAAATATTTTCAACAGTAGCTGGTGTAATTATAAGATCTAAGAGAACAGTATTGGTGCAAAAGTTAAACTTGGGGGTGGATCATTTTAATTTTTTTGTCATTGAAACATTTGACATAAGGGAAATTGAAGTCTCCAGCAATGAGAAAGCCTTGATATTTTTTATTTTTAACTGCACTCCTTGGAGCTGTAATTGATTTTAGTATTTCATTATCAGTTGCAGAATTTGGAAAAATTGGGTCGTAGTTTTGTGGAGGGCTGTAGATGCAGCCGAGTTAATATTAAGAGATATCCTTTCAACTTGAGATGAAATAAAATTTTCAATGAGATAGATTGCTATTCCGCCTCTATTTGAATTATGTAGATGTTATCCGTAGAGATTGCAAATGCAATCATCACGAAACCATGTTTTAGTTATAAATATGATATGTGGTTTTACAATTTTGATGCGCAATTGTAGTTCAGAGAGCTTGACTCTGTTTAAGGAGCTGGAGTTGGTATGCATGCATTTAAGTTGCTTATAAAATATATCGGTATCATTTAGTTAAGATTGAAATTACTGTTGGTTTGAAGAATTAAATGTTAGCTTTTGAAGTTGAGGCTTTTACTGATGCATTTTTTAGTGTTTACTTTGCTTCTTTATTGAAAAAGGGGTGTTTACTGTGGTTATTCATGAGAAGGGTTTTGGTGACATGAATGCAGCAAACTCCTTCACTGTAGATAACATATCAAAAGGGTGAGTTAAGTTTGCCAATTTTTTTAAGCTCATTGTTTGCTTTTTTTCATTCTTTGATTAGGGTGTTGAAGTATGTTTGTTCAGTTGGTGTGTGGTCTAGTTTAATGAAAATGTTTTTGTGGCATGTATTTGCAAGATTTTTAGCTGGTGATATGATATCATTGCATGTGATTTCATTTTCTAATTGAACAACTAGATTAGTTGGATATACTATGGATATGTTTGACGAAAAATCAGTTTTATGAAGAGTATATGATTTCGATTTTTGTCTGTGAGTTTGCCCAATTTTAACATTTTTGTTTAATGGCTTATGATTAGTTCAACTTGAGCAGTATCATCATCAACAATTTCATTGGTATTTATTTTCTTTGATTCTGGGACCTCTGCTAATACAAAATTTTTTGCTTTGTTTTTGTGTAATTTGCTATCTATTTTAACTGCTTTGATTAATGCAGCATTTGCAGATGAGCCAGGTTTAATTAGAAGGCGGTTTTACTATAATTAGAATGGCAATTTTACTATAATTAGAATGGCAGTTTTACTATAACTTAGTTGTGATGGTGAAGTATTGATGCAGATGGCTTTAAGTTTTTTATTCCCTTATTCAAGTAGTTTTACCTTTTTAATAAGGTTGCTGATAACATTGTAAATTTCACTGTCCCACGTATGAGAGGGTGAAATTTGCATAAAATGTTTTTTGTCAATGGACGGTGAAATTTGCAAAAGTGCGTTTTATAGTATCTGATGATCGTTCATCACACACTGGCCAATTCTCTTTTTTATGATGCTTGAGTGCTTTATTTTTGTAGAAATCCATATTACTGATAAAAGAGGGTTACCACTTTAAATCATTGGATTACCTTTTGTTGTGAAGTTTTCCTTATATTGCAAACCTTATTAATACAAATAGAACCGTTAATTTTTGTGTTTTTTTCATATATATACGATGCTATATATATATATATATATATATTTTTTTTTTATTTTTTTTTTTTTTTCATAAAGCTGAAGTATATAAAACTGCTATAAATATTTTTAAGATGCATGACTATATACGATTGACTCACTTGTACTCTGTATGGCTCATGTTAACCATTGAACAAGCATGTAGAATATACGCAAGTAAACAGGTATTTTTATGTATATATTTTTCTATTATTTAATTCCATTTTCTTGCACTTGACTATTTTTATTCTTTTATTTCACAGATTCCATTTCATGTAAAAGAATTTTTTATGTGCGAGGACCTTGAAAAAGAAGTGGTTGAAAAAATGGAAAAAACTCTGCATCATATTGACAAAAAGGAACTTTTAAATCTAATCACTGAGTATATTGTTTTGGAGCTTCCGTTAAGAAATGAAGCTGATATTTCTTTAACGTAAGATAACATTTTCTTTTTAGTATTTATAATTTTTTAGAGTTTCACTTCTACTGATTTTAAGATTAAAAGTATTTTAGTTTAAAATCGAAACCAAAATTGGTAATTTACGAGGGTTTCTTTAGAACTCTACCTGCTTTTCAGCCATTTAATTTTTTTTTTTTTTTGTAGTAGTGATAATTTTTAGTCAACATATATGTGTGAATAGTTTGTGTGAATCACTTGATTCTGATTTTGATGGTTGTCACATCTTCCTCCGGGTTGATTTAAAGCTACCTCAAAATTGTATTTTGAGGGAGCTATAAATCAACTTTTTTCATCTTTTGTAAAGATGGAAAAAGATTTTAGGCATAAAGCCACCCATTTGTTGTAATATCAAAACGTTGTGGTAATTCCATGAAATTCTTCAGCGCCATGACTATAAAAAGGCTATAGTTATTCATCTTGTTAGTTATGGAACAAATTTTGATGAGGTTCGATCAAACTTATAATTAGTTTATCGGGTATACTATGTCAGCTGACAGTGCATTCAATCTTCTTCAGAATATATTACAATTTTTCTACAAAAATGAATGTTCTTTATTAATTTGTAATTATCACATTCAACAGGGTGAAAATTTTTATTTTTTCAAATTTAATGGCCAGGGTTTTTTTTTTTTTTTTTTTTTTTAGTTAATTTGCTTTCAGCAAATAAGTTCAAAATTCCTTTACAAACTAACTTTTTATTGAGACATCTTTATTATTTTTCATGATCTTATAACTCGTTTCTAATTCGAATTTTTCGAAATTTTTTTGAACGCTTGTTTAATACTTTTTATACTACATTAAATAATTCAACAGCTGTAAAGTTGAAATTTAGAAAAACATATCACTTAAGCAGTATCATCGGTGAACGTATATTTAATAACCCCTTTAAAAGGTCTGTAAAAAACGCGAAACGAGCATTATTGAAAACCATGGCTTAAACCTGAGCATAAAAGTTATTTTATTGAAAATCATACCCTAACCCTAAGAGTTAAGTTCAGGGTTTAGCTAGGATATTGCTTTCAACAATACTTTATTTGCGTAATATAAAATAAATTCAAATAAAGGTACGCCACTCACAATACCATGTGATTCCAATAATTTCCTTTAAACTAGATTCCGTTTACTTTGCATTTAATAGTGTTTTTTTATTAAATAGCTTTTTGAATTTATCATTTTAAATTATTTTTAGGTTAAGTGAAGCCCTGCAATTGTATAAAGATAAACAAGGAACAATAATAACAACTTGTTTAGAATCTATTAGTGATGAATTTTTATTAAAACATATTTATCTATTTTGGAAGATAGTTGCTTCTCACGCATAACATTTTAATGATTAGAATATTTTGGACAGCATTTTGTAATTTTTTTAAATTTTAACTTTGTGCATATTTTATAATTATTAATTAATTTATTTTTTTTTATTTTTTTTTGTGTGATTCTCTCAGTTAATTTATTTTTAATTTTATTATTTTATTTAATTTTATCATAATCACTACTTTTTTTAAAAAAAAATTTTTTTAATGTTTTTATATTTTTTATTTTTCCTAATTAATTGTTTTTTTTAATGTTGTCATTTCGTTTATTTTTTTGTAATATTTTTGTAATATTTTTGTAATATTTTTGTAATATTTTTGTAATATTTGTTACTTTTAAGTGATTTGTATAATGAACTAGTAAAATTAACTTAATAAATCAAAATGTTATTATTTTTATTGTCATTGAACGGTTACTTGATGAGGCGCTTTTTTTTTAGTAAAATTAGTCAGAGGTTCAATCTTTTGCGCTTTTACTTAGTATCAATTTTGATAAAGAATGTAATACTTTGATTAATATAAAATGTAAATACAAACAATAAAAATTAGTTTTTAAGAAAAAAAATAAACAGTAAAAATTAATGTAAAAAGCAATTATCCTTTAAGTCTAACATTAAGTAAACATTATTTTTTCTTTCGATGCTGTTTCTGTCAGAAATCCTCAAAAATATTAATATAAATTGATTTTCCTAAAATATAAATTAATTTTCCTGGTTCAACTTTGAGTCATCTTTTCACAACACCACCTCCGTTTATTTTTTTAATAAAGCTATCGTTCAAATAGGAGGAAAAATTGTCTATTAATACTTTTTTAAATTTGTTTCATTACCGTAAGACTGGTGTGACTTTGATACGCCTTTCATTACCGTAAAACGGGGTGACCTTGATACGCGGGGTAACTGATATTTTTGCCTGTTAGTTACAAAAGTATTGATTTGGAGATGAAATTGCAAAATTAGAAACTTTTTTTTTTTCTATTACATTATTATATTCTGCGTATATTTTTGAAAATATAATGAACGTGACATGAATGTGTTGGGATTAAACAAAAAAATAATGATTTTTACATGTGCCAAAAAAATGACAAAAAACATGGTTTTAATTTTTTTCTAAAAAGCTATACTTAGATGTTCAAGTGGTATATTCCAGTTATAATACCACTGTAATATACCACTGATTTTGGTTACTCCCAATTTCATTTGCAGAAAATTCAAAACAATTTTGTTTTTCACTTTTTCAAATAATTTTCAATATTTGATATTTTAATCTTATTGTGCTTATTTAATGAATCAAACGATTATTTCTAGTTAAAAAAGACACTAAGACAAATTGCAGAAAAATTTATGAGAACTTATAAACATAAACCAGGTAATCGATCCTATGCATTGTATCTAGCAGAAGCTATGCAAAATGCCTCGTTAGATATCTCAACTAAAAGAGTATCGATTTTTAAGGCATCCAAGTTATATGGTATACCATATGGTACTCTACACAACAAGAGTAAACTAAGACATAAAAAACTTTGGAGGGCAGACCAGATTACAGCCCCATACCGAAGATAGGATTTTACAAGTTATTAGCATCCTGACAGATCGGAAGTTACCTTTGGATAAGTTGGATATACGTCTTCTAGTAAAAGACTATCTAAACAGAATAGGTGTTACTGATTTAAAATTTTAAAATAATTTGCCTGACCCTGATTGAATAAAATCCTTCATTGTTCGCAATAATCTGACTGCTCGAATAATATCTTCATATTTCGATTAGTTATCCACTACACTTCAAGACATTCCTAATACCAACATATTCAACTATGAAGCGATAAATGTGAGCGATAATCCAGGTGCTAAAACAATAGTTTGTAAACGTGGGCTGAAACGCGTAGAAATAAAAAAGCAGCATTCTAAAGGAGCTATTAGTATTGTCTACTAAGGTAGTACAGCTGGTCATTTTCTTTCTCACATGGTTTTTTATAAAGCTGCAAACTGCTACATAGAGTGAACAAATGGTGGTCCACCTGGAACTATATTTGACCGTTCAAAATCTGGTTGGTTCAACTCTAGAACATTTGAACGTTGGTTCAGAGAAATTTTTATTCCAGAAACAGCATCTGCATCTCTTACATGAACTAAAGTTGTTGTTGGAGATAATTTAACTTCACATTTCTCATCTGATATCATCAAAGTATGCTTGGAATATAATATCCGGTTTACATGTTTATTCCCAAATACCACACATCTGCTACAACCGCTCGATATTGCTGTTTTCAGATCTTTGAAAGTTAAGGGGAAGAAGATTTTGCAAACATGGAGAAGAGAATCACGAATAAAGGGTTCAATTCTTAAAACCCATTTACCAGCGCTCTTGACAAAGTTGCAAAACACTCTGAAAGCAGACAACATAAAAGCGGGATTCAAAATTTCAGGCATATATTCATTGAATCGAAAAAAAGGTATTAAAATAGCTTCCAGATGTCAATAAAGACTATGGCGGTGAGACCATAAAAGAAATATTAAATGAGGATGCAATAGATATTCTTACAAAGTACTGTGACAATGATGCAGCAGGAAAAACCAAGAGAAAAAGAGGGGAAAAAAAAAAGGAAACGTTACACCAGGAAAATTGATCACAATAGATGACATTGATTATAGACTAACATCAAAACAGAAAAAATCTAAAAACCAACAAATTTAAAGAAAAAAATCAAAAATAGCTTCAAAAGGTGTTGAATCTTTGTCTGAATTAGAAGAAATTGAAGTCGGTAATTGTGGTTATCCCAATGAAAGTAATGAAAAGAAAGATGTTGATTTAAATGAGTCTAATCAAGAAGAACCTGATGTCAACAATTTCCAAACTACAGAGGATTAGCATGTTGTAGTCTACCCAGGAAAAACTAAAAAAAGTGTAAAATTAAATTTCATTGGACAGATTATTGAGGTTTTATTAACACCCTAAATTCTTTGTATGAGGTTCCTAAGTAGAAGGATCCGAAAATCTGTTTAATTATCCTGTTGCAGAAAACATCGTTTTGTTGTACATTTCTTAACTATCTTCAACATCTTCAACCACCAAAGAAATATAATAGTTATCAATTAGAGTTTGCAAATATAAAAAATATTGATAAAATATGTTAAGTGAATCGGATACGTTATTAGAAGATGTCAAAAATATTCACTAAATGATTGAACTCAGAACATTTTATTTAAGAAAATTAACACTTTATTTTTTAATCATTTATTTTACTAATTAGTACCCATCAGCAGTTTAGATGTACTACACAGAACAACTAATTCCTAGTCCGGTTTTAACACCAGTTATTGTAAAATCTTCAGAAAATGTAGTTTTTAGGTTTTTTTGTTATTGTATCTTTTTTTTATTTTATATGGAGTTGAACTAGTAAAGCACATTATTACTTAATATTTATATACAATTAGTACTTTTTTTTGTTAGCATTATTTTGTAACTGCTATTTACAATTACTCTAATGATGCTATTGATATACTATATTGTTATGTTTAGCATATTAAAACCAAATTGTTTCTTTTTTTTTGTCCAATCAGGGTTAGGGTGTAGATATATTCGATAACTAGTCTTGTTGTCTAAATTTATAATTACACAAGTAAAATCTTAAAAATATATGTATAATGTGTTGTAATTTAGTAAAACTCCAAAAAAAAGTATTAATGGCAGTGAATATGACTTAATTAATAAGCTTTTAAGAAATAATAAACTATGAAAGTCACAACAAGGGACGGAGATTGATAACATTTTTGACTTTAAAAAGTATATATTAAATCCAAAAAAAAAAATTACCTTTAATGGAATCTTATAAAGGAAAGGTATAATGTTATATCGAAAAAATAAATTCAAAAGAAAATTTATACGAACGAATTTATTTTCAAAAATGCTCAAAAACCTATCAAAGTCACCCCGTTTGACGTACGTATGGTAATAACGCACAAATTTATCAACCCTTAAAACTGACTTTATCAAACCAACAAGGTTTGGTTCTATTCAATTGAGAATTCTTTGGAACATGTTTTAACCATGAGTTTTTTAGTAAATGAATAATTTAAAAACTGTGTATGGTGGAAAAATTTCTCCTAAATCATATTCACAAAACATCGCAAAAAAAAACTATTTTTTCAGGGTAATTTATTTCACGTGTCATAACACTTTTTTTAAGTCCAAGGTCATCACGCAAATTGATTTTATTATTGTTCCAAAATTTAAAACCCTTCCATTTTATGTTTAAAATAAAGTTTACAACATTACACATTCTTTTTTAATGTAATTTTACGGGTTAACTCTGAACGCTTAATAACATTTAAAACCAATCATTACCAGTTATATTGTTTGAAAATTTGTACTGTATTCTGTATGATTTTGGAATTTTAAATAAGCTGCAACTAAAATTTTTACGTCAAGTTTATCTTGTTTTTACGTCAAGTTTAATTTGTACTTGTGAAAATAAATGTGCATTTTATTAACTTACTTCTAAATTTGATAAACTATAACTTATAGTTGGAAGTCACATCATTATTACATTAGTCAATTATTAAACACTAATTAATCTTTAGAGTTAATAAAAATGTAAAGTTTTAAAAATATAAATTTACAAAAACAACGACAACAACAACAAAAATAATTCAGCTTGATAATAAATCTTTATTATTATAAAATAAGTTATCTAAATAATATATTTTTTAAAATTTGGTAAAATAATTAATGAAGAGTCTAGGTAGAATAAATAATAATTAGGCAAATTTGAAATAAGTATTAACTCATTATACTCATTGATAATAGTTATACTATTATAAATGAGTATAAATAATACTGTTATTTATGTGATCAGTGTTATCCAGAATGTTTATAATCTTCTTGTAAATTGATGGAAAACTGTGTTGTTAGCTCAAATTTGATATTCGCCCAGATGATCTTTTCTTGTTCTTTGATAATATTTTTTTATTTATATATAAAAATAAAATAATAAAAACTACATCATTAAATTGATGTAGTTTTTATTATTATATACTTTTATATATAAGAGCAAAATAATAAAAACTACATCTAGGTAAAATATAACCAAAAATTAGATAAAAATGTTGTCAGGGCGAAGATCAAAATTTTGTTGCAA